GGAATTTTTCTTTCTTTCTTTCTTTTCTTTTTTTTTATGTAAGTAAATGTTTATTAGATAAAATTGTTAGCAGCAGAAAAGCAGGTCATAATCATTTATTACACTCAGTACAATCTCCTTTTTTGTTCCTCCTGATGCTTCAACCTCACCTTCCACAGAATGCTCTCTTTGTGCAGAGCAACAATACCCTGAAGGCATAACTAAGAGTCACCAGGCCAACTGATCATCCAAGGGCAACTCCAGGCCTGACCCTAACCCTCAGCACCCTTCTGAAAGGCAGAGGATGCAGAGTTCCCTGGATCTTACGCCTTGATCACAGGGAGGGGACTACTTCACACAGTTCACATCTGCCAAATCCCGTGATCTTTCTGATGAAATGCCCGCTGAGCACCCCAGATCAGTAAATAACAATTAGATTTGAGTTTAATACCGATTAGATTTTTAAAAAGAACAGCAAAGACCGAACAATCTCTACAAAGGAAAGAATTTTTGCCTGGCCTACAGCTATGTTTAAAATGCTGCGGCCAAAGAGGAGGGCTCTGCAGGATGAGTAAATATCACACTGTCAGCGGAGGTATTCAAGTAAGTTACAAGCATTATGAAAGCAAATGTTTTGGACACAAGCATACCTAATACAATAATTAAAAAACAAAAACAAACAAACAAACAAACAAAAAACAGGCTTGAAACATTCCTATTTCAGGGTACAGGCGGGCTTTCCACTATCTAATGCCATCTCCTTTGTGATCCTCACCCACAGGCATTTCAAAGGTCATGAAAAGACCATTTAAAAACTAAGCATGTGTAGAGCCAATATGTGGACTCTATTGTGTTAGTGACAGCCTCTACACAATCTCAGAACACCAATCCTTTTCTCTCTCCTGAATAACTTTGGGTTACAACTACCTCACCTCACCTAGTTACACACCCCCTTATGTGACTGAATTAAACCCAGACCAACCCTTACAACAGTAAAGACATTGCTGTCTTCTTGGTGAATATGCTAAGCTTTGAAGTACAAATTTTACTTCTACACTAGCCCGTATAAAGACATCAGGTGTTTGAAAAGAGTTTAAATGTGAAACACTGCATTTAGGTTTAGGAACTTGGCTATGAATGAGATCACTATTCATTTAGTAGTTCCCCAAATGAGTTAGAAGAATATGTAAAAAGAAAGGAAGATCCCTTGGAGACTTGGAATTCTGCAGTAGCGCAATCCCATCTTCTTTGTTCAAGAAGACTGTAGTTCATTTTCAGAATTCACTCCACAATCCAGTGATCTTGGGATGTCAGCAAACCCATCAGGGCAAGAGGTACACGAAGAGGAAGAGCAGCACGTCCAGGAGCACGAAGAGCCACAGGTCCAGCCAGCACGAGTGCTTCGGCAGCCCGTCGGTCCCGGCCTGCGGGGCCCCGGGCCCGCGCCGTCCCCGGCCGCCGTTCGCCGCGCGCGCCTCCATCCTGCCGCGAGCTCAGCGACCGTCACTGCCTCGCGCCACCGCTCAGGAAGCCCGACGCGGGCGGAACGCGGGACCGCGCCTCCGCCCAGGGAGGCGAACCCCCTCTTTTTTTTTTTTTTGAGAGAGAGAGAGAGAGAGAGAGAGAGAGAGAGAGAGAGAGAGAGAGAGAGAGAGAGAATGAATCCTTTTTGTAGATGGACACAACACAATGCCTTTTTTTTTATGTGTTGCCGAGAATCGAACCCAGGTCCGCCCGTGCTAGGCGAGCGCTCTACAGCTGAGCCACAATCCCAGCCCCAATTTCTGGAATTTTTCACTTAATATTTTCAGGCTAGGTGCAGTGGTACCCTCTTGTAGTTCCAGCTACTTGGGAGGTTGAGGCAGTAGGATTGCTTTGGCTTGGGACTTTGAAGCCAGCCTGGCCAATATAGGGGAACAATCTTAAAAAAAAAATCTAGGGTCTGGGGCTGGGGCTCAGTGGTAGAACACCTGCCTAGCGTGTGTGGGGCATTGGGTTCAATCCCCAGTACCATACAAAACAAAATAAAGGTATTGTGTCCATCTACAACTAAAAATTAAAAAAAAAAAATCTGGACTGCAGATGGTTGCAGGTAATAATTGAAAAACTATGAGTAAGGCAAGGACCACTAGCTAGAATAAGGGGAGGTATAGCTAAGGATGAGGTTGCTTTTGGCTTCTTGTGTGATGAGCAGCCAGGAGAGGGTGCTGAGGAGGGTAGTGACACAGATGAATTAGATATTAAAACAATCACTTTGGCTGTTGTAGAAAACCAAGTAGTCCTTTGCAATAGTTCAGGAGATAGATGATAGTGGCTTGGACCAGGATGTAATATGTATGCAGAAGGTTGAAAATGAATGCAAAATCACTGGGCACAGTGGCACACCCCTGTAATCTCATGGCTTGGGAGGCTGACAGGAGAATCACAAGTTCAAAGCCAGCCTCAGCAATGGCGCACAAAGCAACTCAGTGAGACCCTGTCTCTAAATAAAATACAAAATAGGGCTAGGGATGTGAATTTGCTGTAGTGAGAGTTGAGGATGATTTCAGCTTTTGGCCTGAACAACTTGGGGGAATGATGGCATCATTTACTACTGATAGTAGTATGAAGATGGAGAATATTTTGTTTTGGACACATATATTCTGTATAGAATTCATTTAAAATACCAAGTCCACAAACTCATAAATAAAATGTAGTATACCTATACAATGGAATATTTTTTGCTAATAAAGATAAATGAAGTACTGATGTATGTTCATCCATACAACATGGATAAACTTTGAAAACATGCCAACTGAAAGAACCAGTCATAAAGACCACATATTGTATGACTCCATTTATATGTCCAAAATTGTCAAATCTATAAAGAATGTACATTAGTGTTTGCCTACAGCTGGAGAAAATGAGGAATGACAGGGAACATGTATGGGGTTTCTTTCTGAGTTGATGAAACATTTATAGTGATTATGTAACAGCATAGTGCTATGAATATACTAAAAGTCATTTAATTATTCCTGTTGGGTGTAGTGGCACACACCTGGAATCCCAGCAGCTCAAGCTAAGGAATGGGGCTGGGGTTGTGGCTCAGTGGTACTGTACTTGCCTAGCATGTATGAAGCACTGGGTTCAATTCTCAGCACCGCATATAAATTAATAAAATAAAGGTCCATTGACAACTAAAACAATATTTTAAAAAAAGAAGCTGAGGCAGGAGGATAACAAGTTCAAAGCCAGCCTCAGCAACTCTGTCAGACCCCATCTCAAAAAAAAAAAAAAAAATATATATATATATATATATTTTTTTTTTAATTTATTTTTTTTTCTTTTAACAAAGGGATGAAGATGTAGCTCAGTGTTAAACTGCCCCTGGGTTAAATCTCCAGTAAACCTCCCATTAAATAAATGGACATATTGCTTGGCTGAATTTTATGTATGTCAATAAAGCCATTATAAAATAGCTAGTGCCAGGTATTGTAGCATATTTGTATCTCAGAAACTTTAAGAGGTTAGTGCAAAAGGATTGCAAATTTGAGGCCAGCCTCAGCAATTTATCCAGTCCCTAAACAACTTAGTAAGACCCTGTCTCAAAATTTAAAAAAAGGGGCTGGAGGTCTAGCTTAGTGGTAAAGTGCATCTGGGTTAAATCCTCAATACTCTCCACCAAAATAAATAAGACTGAAAACGTAGCTCAGTGGTAGAGCATCCCTGGCATTAAACCCCAGTATCTCAAAAAGCAAAACAACATAAACAGAAGGCATCACCTAGCAAAGCCTGTAATCCCAGTGGCTCGGGAGGCAAGGCTGGAGGATCCCACGTTCCAGGCCAGCCTGGGCAATTCAGTGAGACCCTGTCTCAAAATAAAAATATAAATAGGATGGGGATGCAGCTCAGTACTTTTGGATTACTGTACTTGGAGTAATTTTGGATTCAATCCCTAGAGCCACAAGCAATACAGTGTTCACTGTTTTAAATGTTCATAATGTTCCTGAAAAGAAAAAAAAAGTTCATGATTTCCTTAGTCAACTATTTTATTATGTTCTTTCTTTACCAGTTTCCCTTACACTATCATAACTACCTCTTCTTCCCTTTTTCCATATGCAAAGAAATCTAATTTGTATTATATAAATTGGTTTAAGCTAACTTTTTGGCCTTTATAAACTGGGAGTTCAAGAGACATGTTGAGGTAATAGAGCTGGAAAAAACAGTTATTAAGGCTAACCCACAAATATTTTGAGGTATTATGAATTTAAATATCCATAAATCTTCGAAAATATGGTTGTCTTCAGTTCAGGAGGAAAAACTTAAAATCTCTGAAATCCAAGAAAAACTGTGGCTTTAATTCCACCTCCCCATAAAAATCAGTAAAATTAAGTACTTCATTGTTGGCCTAGCTCTATGTGGTGAACATGTGAATTCATTCAGGGAGCCCTTATGAAGGGGTAGAAATCCCAAGATTTCAACTGTTTCTAAAAAAAAATTAGATAACATATGCTATTATACTTATGGAGGTTCAATTAGGTTAAGAAAAAAATGGTGGCCAGACTAATTATATTCAAAGGAAATAATCCTACATAAAATATATCTATTTGAAGAGCTTTTAGAGAGTATTTGCTCCCTCCTCCCTCAAGGTGAATATAATATATATATATATTTTACAATCTAGATGTAAAGGAAAATCAACAAAGCTGAGCTGTTAGAAAAAGTTTCCTTTCTCACTTTTTTTTTTCTTTCTTTTTCTGGTAGTGGTTTCTGAACCTGGGGATGCTCTACCACTGAACTACATTTCTAGCCCTTTTTTAGAAAATTTACTTTGAATGAGGGTGTCACTTAAGTTGCTCAGGCTGGCCTCGAATTTGTGATCCTCCGGCTTCAGCCTCCCAAGTATATGGGATTATAGGTGTAAAACAGGGACTGGCATGGTATATAAAGGGAGAGGCATTATTAGCTTTGTGTGAAAAGTTATTTTTTCTAACTAAAACAAATGAATACTGCTATTATATTATGCACAGAAAGACGAGAGATATAATAATTGATCTTTATTATATAGAAATGTGAAGGTCATATGAATTAAATAGGAAGGTGTTTGGCAATGAACATTATGCAGATTTGAACTCAAGACATCCTCATTTTATTGAGATACAAGATAAAAATAAACACTAAAGAGTCGCAAAGAAAGAACTCAACTTCTACCCCACAATCACACTGAAACATTCCACAGGAAAACGTGGTTTCAATTCATGCCGAATTGTTAATTAGAGAAAGAAAAGTTACTTCAGGTGGTACATGACTAGCTTTTGTAATTTTGGAGAGACAGACTGAAACTCTACTTAGCCTCTCATTTAAAATTTGTTTCATATTACAATTAAATCTTTATGCACCTAAGAAAAACCAGAAGTGAAAACAAAGTGTTGAGTTGAGGAATTATTAGGAATTTTACATTTGAGGGAGGAGATAAACTTTTCAATTTGTGTAGAAACCCAAAAAAGGGAACAAGAGCATGTGGAGTTTGGATATACAGCCTGGATTCAGAGTGCTGCTATTTGGTAACTGAAACAATTTCTCAGTTCAATCAGAGCAGAGACATATATACATTCATTTATTTGTAGTACTGGGGATTGAACCTAGGGCCTTGTGAGGCAAGCACTCAACCACTAAACTTTATCCTCAGACCACTACTTTGAGACAGGATCTAAGTTGATTAGGCTGGCCTTGAACTTGCCATTCTTTTACCTCAATCTCCCCAGTGTCTGGGATTACAGGTTTGTGCCACCATGTCAGGCTTATAGCAGACTAAGAGGAAATAGGACAGTCCTGTGCTAAAGGATGGAAATTCTTAGGCCACCTCTATCCTCTTCAAATTATAATGCTGATTCCATGAAGGTGGTGGTTGTGACACATTTTTTCTTTTCTTTTTTTTTTTTTTTAATATTTATTTATTTATCTTTTTTTTTAGTTATCGGTGGACACCACATCTTTGTTTGTATGTGGTGCTGAGGATCGAACCTGGGCCGCACGCATGCCAGGCCAGCGCGCTACCACTTGAGCCACATCCCCAGCCCCCACATTGAGTGAAGGAGCATGATTTCTAAAAGGGTGTATAGGATATATTTCTGGCTATAGGAGTGTAGGACCCAGGTAATCAAATGTGGGAAATTTTCATTAGGTTAGAAAAAGGAAGATAAAAAAATCAATGGCAGGACATACAATCTCAGAAACCATCTGCTTAAAAATTAGTTTGGTTTCCACTGCTACTCATTCAAAGACAATTAATTCAATAAGCTATATTATTTAGCTGAATCTGAGAGATAAAAGACTATGTAACATGTATTTAAGATAGAAAACAAACCTAGAAAAATATAATAAATGGTTTGCTCTTCATCTCATTCACATTCTGCTGTAGAAGAACATGAAACCCCACTTAGATATTCATAACCCTATTTATCCAAAAGTACAATGGATGAAATTAAACCAAGAAATGGGAGAAAAATGTTTATTGGGTGTGTGTGGGCTCACCCAGTGTATTCATCTATAGAGTGAAAGTTTAGGGAGAAATAACATCTGCTTATAATGGTCAAGGCATATGGAGAAGCCCTAAAATTGCTCTCCCCAAATCATGAATCTGACCAAAAGAAGGAGTAAAAAATGATGAAAACATTTCAGGACACCAAACTCAGTGATGGGGTCTCTGAAAGTCACCAGACAGCAGGTAAAATGAAAAAACCCATTGGCTGGCTCTAGGATTTATTGAAGGCAGCCAGCACAGCCCAGATCATCTCTGTAGCATTGTGCTTTGTCCCCTCCACTTCAGGGTCCAGTTCTACTAGGTCCTTGGCTCTATTCATTGCCACATCATATTTGTCATCTGTCAGAGAGGAGAAGACATTCTCTAGCACATCAGAGGAGTGGGCTAGCACCAGGAGTGCTAGCGTTCGTCTGTCCATCCGCTGAGGGTCATTTACCCACCGCTCTAGTACACTATCTTGAAGTTTTTTCACTAGTCGCTGTTTCTCTGTTGTATTGGTCACAGGATGAGTAGTCATGTCAAATAGCAGGAAATTCTGCTTCTCAGTGGTTAAAATACCCTTCTCTACTAGGTTCTTTGCAATTCGCTCTCGTACGTTTCTCAGCTGGTACTGTAATTTGAAGGGGTTCCAGGTCTCACCTATGGGGAAAAGAAATAGGACATAATGACCAGAAAAAGGAAAATAAAATGAAAAAAGCAAATTAGTTATTTGGAACTCTGAATGGTTAAAAATTTTAAAGTATAATTTTCACTTATTCATGAAGGAATAATCTTCCTTCCTCAATCTATTTTATCACTTGTCCTTTATACTATGTTTTTTTGTTTTTTACTCCAACTGTATTTCCCATTAAACCACCTTTTAAAAATATCATCAAGGGGGCTGGGGTTGTGGCTCAGTGGTAGACTACTTGCTTAGCACGTGTAAGACCCTGGGTTTGATTCTCAGCACCATATAAAAATAGATAAATTTAAAAATGTCATCAAGGACTTCCATATTGCTAGTGTTTATGAACTTTATTTCTATCCTTTTTTTATTTTTATTTTTTTGTACTGAGGATTGAACTCAGGGGAGCTTTACCACTGAGTTATATCCCTAGCCCTTTTTATTTATTTAAAAATATCTTTTAGTTGTCAATAGACCTTTATTTATTTATATGCAGTGCTAGGCAAGTACTCTGTACCACTAAGCCACAATCCCAGTCCTAATTTTTTTTTTTTTGGGGGGGGGAAGGATATGGCTAAGTTGCTTAGGTCCTTGGTAAGTTTCTGAGGCCAGCAATCTTCCTGCCTCAGCCTCCCAAGTTGAAGGATTATAGTATGTGCTACCATACCTGGTTTTATTTCTATTCTTATATGACTTCTCTGTGACACTGTTAATTATTCATGTATTTTTGAAATCCTTCTAGGCTGGGTGCAGGGGTGCTTGCCTAGAATCCCAGCGACACCCATGTTTATTGGGTGTGTGTGGGCTCACCCAGTTTATTCATCTATGGAGTGAAAGTTTAGGGAGAAATAACACCTGCTTATAATGGTCAAGGCACATGGAGAAACCCTAAAATTGCTCCCCTCAAATCATGAGTCTGACCCAAAAGAATGAATAAAAAATGATGAAAATATGGGAGGCTGAGGCATGAGGATCATAAATTTAAGGTCAGCCTGGGCAACTTAGCAAGACCCTTTTCAAAATACTACTGTTCATCCAAGAATAGTTACCCAAGAGCTGGTTACCCAAGAGCTCTCATGGAGATGTACAATGAGATTAATGTTGCTTTCATGCTGGCTAATACAATATTCATTCTGAAAGCCTATGGATCAAAGAGTAACTCTGACTTTCAAGACTTATTATTTAAGAATCATAATTATGTGGCTGGGTGTATACCTCAACAGTAGAGTGCTTGCTTATCATGTGTGAGGTCTTGGGTTTGATTCCTAGTGCTGTCAAAAAGGGGGGGGGCACTTTACCACTGAGCTACACCCCCAGCCCTTTTTATTATTAAATTTGAGACACAGTCTTGATAAATTGCTTAGGCCCTCACTAAATTTCTGAGGCTGGTCTTGAACTTGCAATCCTCCTGTTTCAGCCTTCTGAGTTGCTGGGATTATAGGCATGTGCCAATTTGCCCTACTAGGAAATGTATTCCATAAGACTATAGCTGCTACTGATAGTGATTCCTCTGATGATCTGGACAATTTAAATTGAAAATGTTCAGGGAAGAATTCACTATTCTATATGCCATTAAGAACATTTGTGGGGCTGGGGCTCAGTGGTAGAGTGCTCGCTGAGCATGCATGAGGCACTGGGTTCGATTCTCAGAACCACATAAATGTTAAATAAAGATATTGTTAAAAAAAAAAAAAAAAAAAGAACATTCGTGATAGATGGGCCTGGTGGTACACACTTGTAACCGTAGCAATTTGGGAGTCTGAAGTAGGAGAATTGTAAGTTTGAGGTCAGCCTTAGCAACTTAGTGAGACCCTGTTTCAAAATTAAAAAAAAAAAAAAAAAAAAGTGGGGGAGGCTAGGGATATATTTCAGTAGTAAAGTGCCCCTGGGTTAAATATTCAGTACCACAAAATAAAACAAAAACAACAGCAAGAGAAACAAACTCATGATTCATGGGAAGAGATAAAAATGTCAATATAAACAGAGTTTGGAAAAAGTTGATTTCTTTTTTTTTTGTTTTTTAATATATATATATTTTTAATCTTTATTATTTATTTTTCAGTTTTCGGCGGACACAACATCTTTGTTTGTATGTGGTGCTGAGGATCGAACCCAGGCCGCACGCATGCCAGGCGAGCGCGCTACCGCTTGAGCCACATCCCCAGCCCGAAAAAGTTGATTTCTAATGAATGACTTTGAGAGGATCAAGACTTCAGTAAAGGAAGTTGGGGCTGGGGATGTGGCTCAAGCGATAGCGCGCTCACCTAGCATGCATGCGGCCTGGGTTCGATCCTCAGCACCACATACAAACAAAGATGTTGTGTCCACTGAAAACTAAAAAATAAATATTGAAATTGTCTCTCTCTCTCTCTCTCTCTCTTAAAAAAAAAATAAAGGAAGTTAACCGCAGATGCAGTAGGAATAGCAAGAGAACTAGAATTATAAGTGGAGCCTAAAGATGTAACTGAATTGCTATAATTTTATGATAAAACTTTAATGGATGAAGAGTACCTTCTTGTGAATGAGCAAAGTAGTTTCTTCCTCAGCTCTCCTTTATTTTGTGGTGCTGAGGATTGAACCTATGACCTCACACATGCTAAGTAAGTGTTCTACTACTAAGCTAAACTCCCAGCCCTCTTTTTCTGTTTTCATCTTTCTCTGTCTCCTTTCTTTTCCTCTCTCTCAACTTCCCTCATTTCTTTTCTCTATTTTGGTACTGGAGATTGGGCCAAGGGGTACTTTAGCACTGAGACACATTCCCAACCCTTTTTATTTTGAGACAGGTTCTCACTAAGTTGCTTAGGGCCTTACTAATTTGCTGAGGCATGCCTCAAATGTGCCACCACATGCTACTGCATCTGCTGTTAACTTCTCTCTCTCTTACATGGGGTGTTGCTAAGTTTCCCAGGCTGGCCTTGAACTTCTGTGCTCCTGTCTCCCCCTCCCAAGTAGTTGGGACTAATATGCAATATGCCACTGTGCCCAGCAGAGAATGGTTTCTTGAAATTGAATCTGTTCCTGGTAAATATGCTGTGAACTTGTTGAAATGACAACAAAGGATCTACAACAATATGACATTAACTTGGTTGAGAAAGCAGCAGCAGAGTTTGAGAGAACCGACTCCAATTTTGTAAGAGGTTGTACTGTTTATTACACACTAACAGAGAAATCTTTTCATGAAAAGAATAATTAATTAATCAATGAAGCAAACTTTATTATTTTAAGAAATTGCTACAGCTAACCCAACTTCAGCAACCATCACCCTTATCAGTCAGCAGTCATCAACACTGAGGCAAGGCTACCAACAAAAGATTAAGTCTCAGATTATCATTAGCATCATTAGTGATTTTTAGTCATAGTGATGTGTTTGGGTGTGTGTGTGTGTTTGTGTGCGATATATATATATATAAATTTTTTTTTTTTTTTGGCCAGGCTGGGAATTGAGCCCTGTGTCTTGCACATGCTTGGCAAGTGTTCACTCATAAATTCTTTTTTGGTACCAGGGATTAACTCAGGGACATTTAACCCCTAAGCCACATCCCCGGCCCTTTTATTTTTTATTTTGAGACAGGGTCTTGCTAAATTGCTTACAGCCTCACTAAACTGCTGAGGCTGACTTTGACTTGTAGTTCTCCTCAGCCTTCCCAGTCACTGGGATTAGAGGCATGTACCTCCATGTCTAGTCCATAAAGTATTTTTAAAATAAGGTATATAATTTTTTTTTTTTTTTTTAGACATGATGTTAAGTGCTGGTGTCACTCAGTGGTAGAGCCTCTTCCTGGGATGTCCCTGGGTTTAATCCCTCTGCATTTCCCTGAGTTTGATCCCAGTACTACAAAACAACAACAAATAGTCATAATTCTATTGCAAACTTTTTTTTTTGTACTAGGGATTGAACCCAGGGTGCTCTCCTCTGAGGTACATCCCCAGATCTTTTGATTAATTTTTAAATTTTGAGATGGGGGGCTGAGACTGGGGCTCAGTGGTAGAGCGCTTGCCTAGCACATGTGAGGCCCTAGGTTCGATCCTCAGCACCAGACATTTAAAAAAAAATTTGAGACAGGTTCTTGCTTAATTGTTTAGGACTTAACTAGGTTGCCGAAGCTGTTCTTGAACTTTTGATCCTCCTGTCTTTTTTTTTTTTTTTTGTGATGCTGGGGATTGAACCCATGGCCTTGTACATGTGAGGCAAGCACTGTACCAACTGAGCTAGATCCTCAGACCTTAATCCTCCTGTTTCAGCCTCCTGAGTTGCTATGATTACAGGCATGTGCCGTTATGCCTGGCACTGAAAACTATAGCACAGTGCAAACTTTTGTGTGACTTTTTTTATTTAATTTTTTAAATAAAATCTACAACTAAAAAAATTTTTATTTATTTTAAGAAATTGCTACAGCTACTCTAACTTCAGCTGTAGATGGGCACAATACCTTTATTTATTTATATGTGGCACTGAGGATGGAACCCAGTGCCTCACCCACGCAAGGCACTCTACCACTGAGCCACAACCCCAGTCCCTATGTGACTTCTTTTATTATAATATTCAATTTACTGTGGAGATTTGGAAAGATAGTAAAGGAGATAGACCTATCGAAGGAAAATATAAGATGTAAATTGAATCATCTCAGTAATAATATTAGATATGAATAAATCAAAATACTCTAAGCAGCCTGGGGCAGTAGAATATGCTTGTAATCTCAGCAACTTGGGCAGGCCCTAAAAAACTTAGTAAGACCCTGTCTCAAAATAAAAAGTAAAAATGGCTGAAATGTAGCTCAGTGACAAACTGCCCCTGGGTTCAGTACTCAAAAAACCCAAATCAAACCAAACCAAGAAACAATAAAAATAACAACAACAATCTAAGCAAAGATAGAAACTGTTAGATTGAATGATAAAACAAGATGCAATTGTGCGCTAGCTACTTTCTACAATTTTTTAAAAAATATTTTTTTTAGTTGTCTATGGACCTTTATTT